AGTGATTACACGCTGGGCTGCGATCGCACGGCTGGTAGTTCAAAACCACCAGCAGCTGGCTCGGCAGGAGAAAGATCGGGCTTTCTACTCCTGTAAATCATGACAGTCTCCGAAATCCACAGGGGGTCACTGTGAGTGGGCACTGGTTCGATGGCACAGAGTGTGGTTTGTGGGGAACTCAATGCATGACCCACAACGCCACCAACCGGTCCGTTTGGACCTAGTAACCTCCTGGACAGCACATGACAACATTGTCTTTTTTTGGGAATTATATTTTGGGTCAGGGGATATATTTTTTCAAATAAGCGGTATCGTACTGTACCCCAAACTAGTTTTTCTGACTTCACAATATATTTTAAGATCGCCTGGCACTATCAGATAAGCACCAGACTGCTAACCTCCAAGGTCGCCGGTCCCATAAGGATTTACGCTGCCTCAGAAACCGCAGTGGGTTCTGTTTGTTGTTAAATCTGCTTGGATCAAGGCTCCTTGGTGGCATAGTTGAGTAAGCAAGCGTTGGCCTGCCAGCCACAGAGTCTGCAGTTCATACCCAGGAGCGAATCTGAGGGGCAAGTCCGCTCCCCTGAGACACATAGCTGCATAAGGTCCCCACGAATCAGAGCCAACTCGGCAGCACCTCAACCAGTACCATGAAGCGATTGCTTCCGCTGCACTAATCAAACCAAGCAAACTCACTGTCATTGAGTTCATTCCGACTCACAGCGACTCCTGATAGAATTTCTGAGGCTGTATATCTTTCCAGGAGCGAATTGCACCTTTCTTTCTCCAAGGGAGCAGCTGATGGGCTCAAACCACCCCCTTGCTGGTTAGCAGTCCAATGCTTCCTGGCAGTACCACCAAGGCTCCTTGGAGTTACCCTAGATATGCCCAATTCCCTCCAGTTTAGACCCGATCAACAGTGAATGATTATACCCACCACCCTCTCTAATACTTAATACTATAAAAAAATTCCATTTTAAATAAGCTGGTACATTTTTTAAAATTGCAGTGTTGTATTATTTGCCCTTCTGTGAATGGTAATAAGACCTTTTATTTCCCTTCTGTAACTTTCACTTTGTTTTTAGAAAAGTGTATGTAAACATTTACAACTTGTTTTATGATCCAAAAAACAGAATGAGGTCTTTTTGAAAACAACTCTGTCGCCTTTAAAGCCAACTCAGGTGCTGGCTCATTCTAAGAACCTGGTTTGACCCACTCTTGGAGCCTTCCTGCAGTGTCACCTCTCCTATTCTTGGATAGAGTCCTCAAAACACTTTCTGATCCCACCAGATGAATGGCTTCGTGGAGCCCAGCCTGGGGCTTTGACAGTTTTGTGCCCATTGACCTGCCTAGCCCAAGTGCTTTGTACAAATTCTTGCACATATGGGTATTTGAAACTTAGTAAGTAAAGATTTATAAAACCGAATGATTGGAGGTGGGGAACTGTAATTATGGAAAAACTGCCAACTTAATTCCATTTTTAACCTTCAGCTCTTTGAAGAGCAAGATCTTGAACCATTCATACCAAAGGTGAATAGGTTCCTACAAAGAGCCTACAATATATTGGGTCTACATTCATTCCCCTATGCACATTAAAAGGACGCTAGGAGCATCTTGAAAGATAGATTCGGTGTCATTAAACCACATATGTTTAATGACATTGCTGAATGGGTGTTGTTTTGTTGTGTATATTTTCACCACAATCATACACACACACAAAAAAAAAACAATAGGAATGTCATACACAACTCAATTAAAAGAGGGATTTTAGGTCTTTGTGGAAAAGCTATTGGAGATGTGAAGATCCTCCTTCAATTGCATTTTCATGATATGTATGTGACATGTCTCTATACATGGCTTATCTGGGCCCAGACCTGCTAAACAGCTCAAGAAAGGGCAATCTTGATTCAAGCAAGTTTTAACACTGGTGGAACACTTTCTAAATTTGAGCACATTGCAGTCTTCTGGCTTTATACACAATTATTTCCTATGTATTTGTGGTATGTAATTATAACATAAAGGATTTTTGTTTTAAAATTCCAAGTACAAAGAAAGTTCTGTCGACCTATTAAAAACAAAAAACAAAACTCAGAAGAAAGCTGTAAATGGTTTAAATATAGACCACATACTCACTGAAAACCCTCAAAGGATTTTGCTGTGTAGCAGTTTTGTTGTAGAATGTTGTTGAATCAAATATTACTTCAAGTCTGCTTCAATATCTACTGACTGCAAGCTGAATCTTATGCTGAAATGTTTATCCTCAGAAGTAAGTATTGGCAAGAAGCATTTTAGGGACTTTGGGAGACCTTGTTTAGAAAGACGAAATGATTTAGCCTTGACCGAACCTGAAATAGTATAAGGCTATACTTTACTTCTCGAACCTGAAATAGTATAAGGCTATACTTTACTTCTCCAGCTGTCTATTGGAAGCATTTTGTAGTGCACACACTTGCACTTGTCCGGGAGTCTGCAGAGAGAATGGGGCTCCTCTGTGGATAAATCACCCAGTGGGTGTTCTTTAAGAAGTGTTTTTCCACGCCATTCTTTCAGTTAGCACATACATAGCTGGTCCAGGATGGCTGCGCCGTTGTCAAAAAGAGGGAATTTGCTAGAGAAACATACACCAGGAAATTTAGATTTAGAAAACAGATAGCTTAGAGACTTCTGTAGAAACTTCCTTCCACAGATGATGCCTTAATGATCTAGGGCTGCTGAAACAAAAATGCCATGGTGGATGGCTTTCACCAGCAGTCAGCGATTCTCTCATGGGTTAGGAGCCTAGAAGTTTGAACCCAGCCCACCAGTTCTTGGGCAAGGTGCTCTCTCTGGCAGCTCTCAGGAAGGTCCTTGTTTTGTTTAGCATCCATGAGTCCTTGGAAATCTCCATGTGTCTTGGGATAACTGGTTATAATTCAGGATCAGAAAGGACTTGGGACACTGTTCCTCAGGCAAAACAGCTTCTCAATTATGCCCATGAGCAGACCTGTCCTTGGGCCTTCTGCCCTGCTCGGACAAGGGTTACACAGATCATTAGCTGCACCAATAAGTACTTTAATATGTTCCACCCCACTAACAAGGTTCCTGTCTGAAGACAATCAGCTTGCTCACTCTGCGAGTTGGCACACCCCTGTGGTGTTTCTTACTGGCCTCCTGATTCTGCTGGTATTTTGAATCCACCCAGAAACACTCCTGTGGTAGTTACATAATCTGTTGTCCATTTGAGATTTAAGAGTGAAGGGGTACAGTTTAGCCTATCAATCAGGCTGCAGCTTGATGACTTCATTTGGAACCGCTAAGGAGGTAAATAGCTCGCTGGAGGCGGGTCACTCATACACTCCCTGTGAGATATTCCTCTAACACACATGGAGCTGTGGTAGGGCCCTGGAACAGAAAGAGCCACATGGAGGCCTCTGCCAGCGCAGAGATGTCTCGACCACCACTGGATCCACAAGTCTTTCCACCCACTGGCCTGTGATCTTCCTGCATTCGGCATCATTGCATGTGTTGCATGAGTCTGAAGAGGAATTTATAGATTGGTATTGGAGATATGGACTAATATCAGACTTATGGACTTGCTGTAGACCGGGCTGGGATGTTTTCTCAATATTCAATTGCTCTTGTATATACACATTGCTCTTTCTTACACACATATGAGTGTCTCCGGATTTGTTTCTCTAGTCATCCTAGACTAACACAACCCCGGAAGAAAGACCTGGCTTTTAGTTTACAGTCTAAGCCTCTAGTACTACAGTCATTAAAATCCTGTGGAATCCCATTCTACTCTGAAACATATGGGGTCACCATGTGTCATAACCTATTTGATGACAATGGGTTTGTTCTCAACTTCCTCCAGGGGCCATAATGCCTCATGCCCATGCTAGATTGTCTTCATGCTGTCATTCAGAAGGAACGCAGAGCAGTGCACCCACAATGCTCATTTCTCCTTGGAAGTAGGAGGGAGGCCATCCCGGCAGGCCTCTAAACCAATTCCTGTTGAGTGAGTCTAGTGTGGCCATCCTGGCAGGCCTCTAAACCAATTGCTGTTGAGTGAGTCTAGTGTGAAACCTAGACTGTTAGAGTAGAATGGTACTCCACAGGGCTTTCAGGTGTGATTTTTCAGGAGTAGGTCACCAGGCCTTTCTTCTGAGGCACCTCTGACTGAATTTGAACCTTCAAACTTTCAGTTAATAGCTGAGCATATTGACAATGTATACTACCCAGGGACTCCCCGATCATCATGAGATGATTGGCTGCCTTCTAGGAGGAAAATAGGTAACATCAGTATCCTCTGGAGAAAGGAACCCAGGAAGCTGAGCAGTCAGCAAAGGGCTTTCTTTTCAAGATGTGCCCTGGTGTGGTGGTGCAGTTGGCTAAGCATTGGGCTGCTAACCACAAGGTTGGCGTTTCCACCTGCGGTTCTGCAGGAAGAATGTGTGGCCAGCTATTCCATAAGGATACAGTTTCAGAAACCCCAAAGAGCAGTTCCACGGGGTTTCATTTTTAATCATGGATACATGTTACCTTTTCTATATAAAACAACTTTTTAAATTAAAACTCACGGATCGATTTGAGTTTCCTTGGGAATTCCCCTAGCTCTTCAGACATTTGTCAGTTTGAAACAATATATTTGATGAGGCTTTACAAAAACGTGTGCTTTATGTTCCTTCGGACAGTGAGTTCCACGAAAGGGCACCCCCAAAAGACAGTGGGCGGGAGAGACGCAAAGAAAGACAGAAAAGAGACCAACATCTATGCTGATTGTGAATTTGGTCTTGGACTTTCGGATTTTTTCCATTTTCACAGCAGCGCTGCTCTTAGCCAGCGTTCTCTGATCTCACCTTTCACCTCTCCCAGCCATGTCCTGGCCCTACCATTTTGTGTGAGCGAGTGCTCTCTGGGCTGCCTAGAGTGAGAGTGCTCCTGCCCTCTTCACGGAGATCACAGATGCAGGAACGGAGACGTTTCTTCCCTGAGTGATCACACTGCTCTTTGCTTCCTAGGTGGTATCACAGCAACCTCAGCCGCCACGCAGCGGAAGCGCTTCTTCTCTCAAACGGATGTGATGGAAGCTACCTGCTGAGGGACAGTAATGAAAAGGCCGGGATGTATTCCCTCTCCGTCAGGTAAGAGCACTTCTGAACAGTGTGAACTCACTCAGCATAGCACCTTCTGTCATTCCATGGGCGTTTACTTTATCATCAGACTGAAATTGCAGGACTTCAAAACTCTCCTGACACTTATTGGAGTTCCTGCTCATACATGAGGACCCCTGGTGGTATAGTGGGTTATGAATTGGCCTGCTCACCGGAAGGTCAGCAGTTTGAAACCACCAGTCGCTCTGCAGGAGAAAGATGAGGCTTTCTACACTCATAAAGATTTCCAGCCTTGGAAACCCACAGGGCAGGTCTACTCTGTCCGATTGGGCCACCATGAGTCACAGGGACTTGATGGCAGTGAGTTTGGAGTTTTCTGAGGCCAAATTCTAAATAATAAGAAAATTATAACAAATATTCTTGCCTTATTCCATCTGAAAAAAAAGTGAGAGAGAGAGAGAGAGCACTGGAGGAAACGATGAATTGCTCTTAATCCAAATCTCTGGACTTATTGATGAAGACACTAAAATCCAGGGTGATGCGGTACCCTGAACCCAGTGAGGAAGTTGTTGAAATAGCACCAGAGCGTAAGCCCTGACACCCAGCCCTGGCCTTCAGCACTCTCCTTGCTCTCTTGGCAAAATCAGAGGGATTTGTTGCTGTTCAACTTTCATCGTCACAAAGTCCAGCAGGCAATAACGTGGCTCATACTCTTTTTGTTTTGATTCTATCAATGGACTTTTTTTCATGAGGCTATGTTTCACTCTAATGGTAAGAAAAGTAATCGAGTTCTCAACAGAGTATTCATCGTTGTTAGTTGCTGGGAGTTGGGGAGCTGACTCACAGCAACTCCACGCCTGGCGCCATGGTACGCTGCTCGGGCCTATGCCATCTGCATGGCTGATTGGAGCCAAGACCTTTGGGATGCACGGGGTTTGCATGAACTGCATGTTGGAGGTAAATCCCAGGTCACTCTTCCTAGACCATCATAGGCTGAAGCGCCGCGGATACCTGCTCGGCAGCATAGCCACGGGCCACAGGCACTGATTGTGGGTAGTGCTATGCATGAGAGCAGTAACTGCCCTGTCCTGTAAGGAGCTTCCCTCCCGACTCACGTCCTTCTGGCTGGCGGGCTGGTTTAAAGAAGCTGGCTTTGCCAGCCATGTGGGAGCCAGGGGTAGGTGGCGAAGTCTAGGCCAGCATCTCTCAGGCTTCCACTGAAATGTCCCAATGTCCCTGGCTTCAGGGCAGGCTGGCCTACATTTGACAGAGGATGGGAGGACTCCAGGAAATTACGTGCAACGTGACTCTGTGAGCTGCTAACCACAAGGTTAACAGTTCCAAATCACCAGCCACTCTATGGGAGAAAGATGAGGCTGCCTGATTCTGTAAAGATTTGCAGTCACAGAAACAGTATAGACAGAGGGTCCCTATTAGTTTTTGCCCATCATTAAAAGAAAAGGACAAGGCTTTCTGCTCCCATAAAGAGTTACACACTCTGAAATGCACAGAGGCAATTCTACCCTGTCTATAGAGTCGCTGTGCGGGAATGGCAGTGAGTTTTTAGTTTACCAAATGCCAAACAGCTGTTGTTGTTAATATCCCAATGGGAGCACCATCTAATCTACAGAGACAGTCCTAGGCGCCCTGCTGCAATCCCTCATGAGGAGCAGACACAAGAAAGTGCTTACTCCTGTCCACACTGGTGGGGCAATTGCTCAACAAAGAGACCATTCTGTTTGGATGGAAGCAGAGAGCTATGATTTCTCTGATCAACAGCAAATGGCAAAATCCATGATGTGGTTCGATTACAGACACTTTCTTGCATGAATCTTCCAAACATCTCAAATAAATCTATGGGATTGTTAAATCAAATAATTTTAGTTAATGTTTTACCTACTTATGTCAAGCTCCTAAAAAATCTAGGTGGTATATTACATAGACACAAGAATGTTAAATATACATCATGATGATCATTACAAGTATTTGGGAATGAGATTCAGTATTTTAACACTCAGGGATTATGGAGCATTGCCGTGATATGGTTCTGGGCACAAAACAAAGCCTGAGGGGCAAGTACAGGCTGTCTGTTTTTAGATGCGTCTGCCCTGAATCGCCAGGGCTTCCCTTGCCTTGTTTTTGTATGCCCCTCAAAGCTGTCTCAAAACCCTCACAGTAATGTACAGAACCCAGAGCGGGAATGCTCATCACTTATTGAAGCTCGTTGTTGTTGTCATCGAGTCAATCCCAACTCAGGTGATTCCATTTGTGCCGAGTAGTTACTTTACAGAGTTCTGCAGGCTGTGGGCCACTTTTCTGAACCGAGGATGGAAGCTGTGCCATTGGTATTTCAAATGCCAGCAGGGTCGCCCATGGTGAACAGCTTTCCAGATGAAGAACAGACAAGGAAGAAAGAACAGGGATTAGTATCTGGAAACTGGATGAAGAACAACAGAAGATTGTCAAATATATGACACATTATCTGGAGAGACGACTCCCTGGAAATGGGCCTCATGCTTGGTGAAGGAGCAGGAAGTCCCCCAGGGAGATGGATTGACACAGGGGCTGCAACAGTGAACTCAAATAGAACGGTGGTGAGGATGGCTCAAGGTTAGGAATCCTTCCTTCTGTTGTTCACAGGGTCGCTCTGCTTCAGCACTAACTTGATGGCACCTAACAACAACAAGGCCAGTAGAAGTAATAGGAACCACAGAGTGGTTCAGGAAAATGATTGCATTTATTCATTCATGAATCTTTTATTCCCATAATAGCAGACACTTAAAAGGATCCACTCTCTGTCAGCCACGCTGATAAGTATTGTAGAAGATTCAAAACATTGTCTTCAGAGAGTATCATCTCGTGGGGCATTAAGACCATATACAAATAACACCGAGTCCATGCAGTAAATGACTCTGCGTAGAGAGGCCTAGATCAGTGCTGGGGTTGTTGAGAAAAGAGAAAGGAACGGAAGGGTCTCACATAATGTTTGACAGGAACAGCATTTGAACTGAAACTTAATGGGTAGCTGGGATTCAAAACTGTGTGTGTGTGTGGGGGTGGGGGGCAGAGATATTCCAGGTTAAGAGAACAATAACTAAACAGTACACAGATCAAACCGAATGGTGAGAGGATACAACCCTGATACACATTTTCTTGATTTTAAGCAACTCAATACTCCCTTGTTCTGTTCACACAACTGCCTCTTGCTCCGTGCCCGGTTCCACAGGAGCACAGTGAAGTGTTCTGGCATTCCCATTGTTCTCTTTGTTATTAACGAATAATCAGAGAACTTTATGATTAGCAACCTGTGATATGCAAATGACACAACCTTGCTTGCGGAAAGTGAGGAGGGCTTGTAGCCCTTGCTGATGAACATCAATCATCAAACCCATCAGTATGGATTACAACTCAATATAAAGAAACCCCAAATCTTTGTAACTGAACCAATCCGTCAGTATGGATTACAACTCAATGTAAAGAAACCCCAAATCTTTGTAACTGAACCAATAGGTAACATCGTGGTAAGTGGAAAAAGATTAAAGTTCTCAAAGATTTCATCTTTCTTGGATCCACGAACGATACCCATGATAGCAGCAGTCAAGAGATCAAACAATGCACTGCGTTGGGTAAAGCTGCTGCACAAGACCTCTGTAAAGTGTTGAAAACAAGGATGTCCCTTTGAAGACGAGGCTGTGCCTGACCCAAGTCATGGTATTTTCAATCTCCTCATGTACTTGTGAAAGTTGGACATAGAATAAGAAAGACTGAAGAAAAATCGATGCATTTGAAGTGTGGTGCTGGTGAAGAATGTTGAAGGTGCCATGGACTGCCAAGAGAACCAAAAATTCTGTCTTAGAAGAAGTACAGCCACCATACTCCTTAGAGGCAAGGATGTTGACACTTTGTCTCACACACCGTGGCCATGTTTTCAGGAGAGAGCTATCGGTGGAAAAAAGATAGCATGCTGGGCGAAGGAGAGAGGCAGTGAAAAAGAGGAAGGCCCTCGCCACAGTGGGTTGACATAGTGGCTCCATCCTTGCGCTCAAACAGAAGAACAATTGTGAGGATGGTGCAGGTCCCGGTCGGGTTATGTTCTGTTGTGCACGGGATCACTGAGTCAGAACCTACTGGATGGTGCCTAACAGCAACAACAAGACAGAGGCAGTAGTAGATCCAATTGGATCAGAACAGGGGTTCTCAAAGTGTGCACCCCGGACCAGCAGCAGCTTCAGCATCACCTGGGAATGTGTTAGGAATGCAGATTCTCAGGTTCCTCCCTGGACCCACTGACTCAAGCTGGGGCCCAGTCATCGGGGTTTTAACAAGCTCTCTAGGTCACTCTGATTCCAGTTCACGTTGGCGTGTGCACTGCATAGAAAGGGATCGTAGATAAAATGGGCCTATGTTTGTTTTTTAATTGAATACTCTGCCACAGTCCAACACTGAGTGAAAAATGACAATTTGGAGAATTTGATATTTTATTCTGCAGGGTTGGATTCACAGAGAAGTTGGATTGTGGCAGACTCTCAGGTATAGCAGGAAACCTAAGGAGAAAAGAGAACAATGGTGAAGGTGTTACGTGCCATTTTGTCATCTTTATTCCCTGCCATTCACATCATGCACCTTAAGGGGGTGGGGGGTGTCAGTGGCCAAAGGTGATGTAAAGGGTGTGTTCTTATCTACTAACTTAAAGGTCGGTGGTTGGAGTCCACCTGGCAATACCAGAGAGGAGATATCTGGTCGTTGGCTTCCAGAATGGTGACAGTCCAGTAAACACAGTGGGACATTCCACCCTGTAACACATCAAATCCCCTCTAGTTGGAATCAACTCTATGGCAGGCTGTCATTCCCCCCCC